ATTATTATTATTATTATTATTATTATTATTATTATTATTATTATTATTATTATTATTATTATTATTATTATTATTATTATTATTATTATTATTATTATTATTATTATTATTATTATTATTATTATTATTATATATATTATTATATTATTATTATTATTATTATTATTATTATTATTATTATTATTATTATTATTATTGTTATTATTGTTAATTATAATTATTATTGTTGTTACGATAATTGAGCTTGTAATTTTATTACCCATCTTGTATAAGCTTGCATTTCGAAACACTATAATTCAATAACGTTTTTGACGTGCAATATGCATTTTGATGCCAACACTTTGAATGCATTTGATATGCAGCGTGCATTTTAATGCTAATCTCATGCTTTTTGCATGAACAGTAATATTATAGATGATGTTGGTATGCATTGTGAACATGATTAACGACAATTAAAAATTATATTTTGATGTTTTTTTTCCTCAAAGAATTTTTTTTTCCTTTTTTTCTCAACGATACTTTTCCTTTTATAAACTCATTCAAATGCCATAACTATGGCTTATTTTTGATTTGAATTTAAACTTTCATTTGCATTTCCGAATGAGTAATGAAAGAAATTGAATGAAAGGAAATATTAATATTATTTGTTTGCATTATTTCTCCTTTCTCCTTATCATTTAAATATTCAATTCCGGATATTTAAATTGTTTATTTAAATAAACATTTGAGTATTCCATTCTGTTTATCTAGCTATCCATCTCGATGTTCATAGTATGTTTGTTGATATTTTACCTTTGATGTTTGATCTGCTAATTTGAATATTTCAATTCATTCATTCGGAAAGGAAAAAATTTTGATTTTCCTTACTATTTTATTTTTCAATCGAATATTTATTCTGTTGGTTGTATTTTATGCGATTCGTGCATCTTTTCACATTTCTGTAAGTTATTTCACAATTTTATTTTCTAATTTTTCCATTTTCCCCTTTTTCTTAAGTTTATACTTTAAAAAATCTTTTAATTACTTGTTTAAATTCATAATTCCCTTCCTCATTCCATTGTTTTTAACTTTCATTTTTCTATTTCAAATAAATAAAAATGTAATCATTAATGATTATTAATGATAATAGTAATGGAGTGAGTAGAAATGCGATCATTAATGATTATCCATTAATGATTACTAATGATGATAGCAATGGAGTGAATAGAAATGTGATCATTAATGATTATCCATTTATGATTATAGTAATTATACCAGTCATATTACATCATTTCTTAATTAATAATAGAATGAAAGTTTAGCAACCATTGGTTTAAATAACATTTTCAACTTAATTTCCCACTTGCAATTTTTAAATGAGCGAAATTATGATGAGTGAAAAATGATGAAAAGACAACAAAAAAAAAAAGATAAGAAAAGAAGACAAGTTAAAAATAATTTCCATTTAAATTTTGAATAAAAATTATTCATCGATAAATTTGTTTAAAAGAAAAAAAAAGCAAAATTCATAAATGTTCAAAATTTTTCAATTCATTTAAATGTTTGTTTCTATTCAATTTCATTCAACACTTCCTGTTAGCGATTTTCAATAAAATCTTAAAATTTATTGAAAAAAAAAGAAAAAGGATTGATAAATTGGAAAAAGCATTGTGAAATATGAATATGTTTTAATGAAATACTTTATCATTATGATTAAACTATTCATTCAAACTTCTATTAACACATTTTATATTACATACGATATCATTTGATCATTAATCTTTCATAATTCACCGGAAATCATCCATCCAATAATTTAGTTAAACCGATTAATTAGTTTTATTATTCATTAGACAGATGACAATTTATAGGAATAATTGATGCAATCAAATTGAATTATCTTTTACTCCACCCCTACAAATATATATATATATATATATATATTCACACTAAATGATAAGGGTATTTTTGCTATTGGTTTAATCTTATCTACAAAATCTTGCTGATAATTGATAACAGCGTTTACTTCTATTTAATTGTCTTATCACAATCATTTAATTTAATTTATTCATTTATCATTCAAGAGTTTTTCCATTTCAATTTATTTGTTAATAATATGTGTATGTGTGATGTGTATACGTGTATGTGTGTGTATGTGTGTATGTGTGTGTATATGTGTGTGTATGTGTGTGTGTGTATGTGTAAAAAATCTTGAATTATTTTTCCATCTTTTTTAATAAGAATTTCACGCAATAAAATGAAATTTACAATGCTTACTAATATGAATTTTTGACTTATATTCAAATTTTTCTTCAACAATTTTAATTATTTTTTAATTTTTGGAATGAAATACACAAGTAATTTAATGGAAACGATTAAATCATTTTAATATTAGTATTTATGAATGAGAAATGAGAAATCGTTGTTACATATATAATTTGAAAATTTTTTAATATATTCATTGAATAGAAGGAATAATCAGATAAAGTTGACAAATGGGACAGTCAAACGTTGTGCTAGATACAAACCAAGGGTTGGACAAAGTTTGAAATGTCAAAATTGAAGACATCGATTTATCAATCAATTTAAATATCGATCATAAATGTATTGATCATTCCGATCATAAATGATCATCTCGATCATAAATATCGATCATAAATGTATTGGTCATTTATCAATGTCATCAATTTATTTTTTTTTTTTCAATTTCTTTCATTAATTATTTAATATCGTAATATTCAATAATTGAATAATGAAAACTATGAAATTGAATTATTTCAATTTTATTTTCCTTTTAAAAAGAAGTAAAAAAAATGTGGAATAGTCATCATTTTTATCGTTTTTTTTTTCATTTTAATTTTAAAATGGCAAAGCAAAGTATGTGTGTGTGTGTGTGTGTGTGTCGGTCCGTCTGTTGTGTGTGTGCGTGTGTGTGTGTGTCGGTTTGTCTATGTGTGTGCGTATGCTTAAGAAGACGAATAAATCTCAGTAGGATTGCTTAAAGATCTGATAATGTTTGAAGTAAACTGATAATTTTATTGATAAGGAATGTTCATAGAAGTGATATCTGTTATCTTTGCTGCTAATTTAATGATTGACAAAAAAATGATATAAAAGAAAAGAATAAAATAAAGCAATAAATTTTTCATTTTTAAAATACTTGTCGTAATTTTGGTAAACAAATTTTGTTAAAAATTTCAACGAAAAAAATATTTTTGTTCATTCGTTGAAATTTTAAAATTAATTATTATAATAAGTGTATGTTATCGTTTGTTGCAATTTACTACAATTTTAATGATTTAATTGCTTTCTTTTTTTTTTGTAAAATAATATATAAATGTGAATGGAACAGAATGGCAAATGCTAATTTATTGTTTAATTTTTTTTGTTCGAAAAATATTTCAAAATGAAATAAATTTATGTTAAAATTCCAAAATTCATATTGTTTTTGAAAATTAACAAAACCATTTCGTATTTTTCAATTTACTTTAAACATTTGCAAAAAAAAAATTCGATCTATTCGTTTCCTTCTTCTTTGTCATTAATTTTATTTTTATTTTTCCGATATATTTTTCATCCACCAATTTTCTTTCATTCTCAAATTTAAATCTTTTATTCTTCCTTTCTTTTTTTAGAAAAAAGCTATTTAAATGTTCTACCTTTTTCAATTTATCATATCAATTTATTATTTTGTTATTTTTATTAAATTTTTAATTGTTACATTATTCCATTCTATCTTATCTTCGCTTATCATCCACAATCATTTGTGTTGCACAAATGTTATCATATCATATTTTATCATTTTATATTAGACGATTGTATTTGTCTATTTGTTTTTCACATTTTAATTATCAATCTTTCGCAAATGATAATAATGACATCATACATACATCGGTCTTGATTATATTAGTATAAAAATATAATCAAATTGTATTTTATTTTTATTTTAAAATTAGAAATTATAATATGAAATTTAATTATTTTAGCTATATGAATATTATTCATTTGCTTTTGTTTGTTTGCTTTTTTTTTTGTTTTTATTTTTTAAATTTTTTAATTTTTCGTACCTTTCTTTTTGTTTTATTTTATTTATTTTTTTCATATTTTCTATTTTATATTAAAATTTTTATTTTATTTTACTTTTTCTGTTCCTTTTAAATTTTATTCGAACTTTCGTGGAAATATTATTCAATTTACTGATTCGCATAATAATTCGATTGCGTTGATTTATCTAAAAAAAAATGTTTAATTTTAAAAAATTTCGATCTTTCTTTCTTTTCCTCTTTTTTTTTTCAGGATGAAATCCTCACAACTTATACTTCCAATCATTTTAATATTATGCCTTGGAAGATTATCTTATCAAAATGATAAATCAGTAAACCTTACAATTATGACATTTAATACCTGGCTTACGGGTAATAATGTTGAAAATGGTTTGGCAAAAATTGCAAAACATATCAAACGGATCAATCCGGATGTCGTTGCATTACAAGTGATTGAATAATAGTTTAATAATTTAGAATTGATATTTGAAACCAGAAAAATTTTTACTGAAAAGTTGTATAAAGCGATAAATTTAAGTATTAAGCTATTTAGTAATAATTATAAGCCACTCTTTCCTTTTTTTTTTTTTTTTGGTTACAATTCAATTTAAAAATAAAACACAAGAGAAAATATTGCTTTGAAATTTTGTAACAAATAATAGAAATTGATTAGCAATTATTTAAGTATGAGTATTCGTTGGAAATTCATTATTCAAAAACTAAAATTACTTATTCAATTATTAAAATTACAAAAATTGCTTTACTTTTAAATTTAAATTCATAAAATTATTTAGTGGAAGGAAAAAAAAGAAGGAAAGAAAGAAAACAGAAATTTTTTTTGACAAATTAATGTGGTAAATGCTTTTTTTTTGATAAATAATTTTTTTTGAAACTTAAATTCGTAAAATTTAGGATTTATTAATTTAAAAAAAAAAAGAAATTGATTTTCAGGAAATTAATGATATAAAACGTTTGCAACATTTGATAACAGAAATGGGTAAAGGATGGGTAACTGCTAAATCAACATATTCATATACTGATACAGCTATTTTAACAAAACATAAAGTTTGTTTATCAATATTTAGTCATTTTATTCTTGCCATTGCTGTTTAAAAAAAAAAAAAAAAAAAAAAATGAAATATGAAACAAAATACTATATTCCTTGAAAATTTTTAGAAAATAATTTGAGAAATTTTATTAATTTTATTAAATTTTCATTCTTATCGTTTTTTTTTCCGTTACAATTTTAAATATATCTGTTTCTTTCTTCTTTTTTTTTCTTTTCTTTCAGCTAATTAATCGATCATTTCATCAAGTAAGCCATGGTATGGGTGTTAAAATAGAAATTGAAAATACAAATAGAACAATTAACATATGGAGTCTTCATTTAGACTATCAGTTAGTGCTAAAATAATTACTGAATTATATTTTAATACTATATGATTGCAATAGGAATAAAATATTGCTAATCTTTAATGATAATTATAAGCTAATCAATAATCTTCATAATAATAAGAGCAATTTTCTAAACATCTAAGAGTAATTTGTAGCTAGCATTTTCAGACTAGTAATTTAAATTGAAATTAATTCCTTGCTTAATTTAGGATGAAATTAATTCCTTACTTAATTATTCCAACCTAACTGAAAATCTCCGCTCTTTTTTTTATTTCTTACGCTTAAAATTTTAGTATTAAATTTAATTATTTGAATTTTCCAACTACTACAACTTTCAATTCTAATCCTATTAGAATTATCATAGTGAATGGTAAAGTTTGCATGAAATTTCAACAATTCACACTTAGATTTACATGAAGGATTAAAATTTTATTAAGTTTGTAAATCTAATTTTGACACAATTATTAGCAATTAAATTAGATTTATATTGGCTAAAACATGAAGGAATTAAATATGATCCAATTAGGGAATGATGACTGATATGTATTTGTAAGAGCTAGCATGAGGAAATTACTGCGATCAATGTGATAGCTTTATGATTCCTGATAATGAGATACGCGAAATGATAGATTAGAAATGTTTTTTCTGAAGATAATAGAATATAAATGTGATGAGAGCCAAAATTAGATGTAAATCTTATCATATCTTTGTAGCAAATTGATAGCATTGTTAAATTGAGCCATTAAATATTGTTAAAATTATGTAAATTATCCAAAATTTATGATCAACATTTTCCGCTTTTTTCTTTTTTTTTCATTTTTTTAGATCATATGGTCCATATGCAGCATTTAATAAAATGGTCACTAAAGCATCACAAATTATGGCTGGCGAAATTGTTGATGGCAAAGGTTTTTCATGGTTTTGATTGCATTTTAGTTGTTTAAATAAAATATATAATTGTAAAATGTATAATTAAAATACATAATTTTTCCTTGAAATCAAAAAAAAAACTTTTCTGAATTTTCAAAATGAATTCCACAAGCATCTCCTCATTGAAATTTTTTAACTTGAAAAAAAAGAAATTATTCAACCAAAAAACATTCATTATATTCTGTTTCCTTTTTTTTTCGTTTTTTTCTTCTAACTGCTCTAAGACAATTACTTTATCAATTTGTAGTGAGTAATTTTCTTTTATTTCGAAAAAAAGTAGCAAAAGTTTAGGTCGTTTTCAAAATATGCGAGAATTATTAGTTGATGATTACTTCCAAGCTGCAATTGAAAATTCATCCATTGAACCACTGATTGTTTGTGGTGATTTTAATTCACCATCACATCTCGATTGGACTAATCAAACAAGGTTAAAATTTCAAAAAGAATATAATTTCTTCTCGTTGAAATCTAAAAAAAAAGGTTATTATAAATATAAATATATATAATGAATTCTCTTTGATATTTGAAAGGATACTCATTTCAGTTTTCTTCATGGTGACTGGAAATTTCAATGGCCAGCAACGCATATGTTACAGAATGAAGCTGGAATGAAAGATTCTTATCGAGAGCTACATCCACAGGTTCTTGACAATCCAGGTTCATTTCACTTAAAATCAGAAAGTTGCTAAAAAAAAAAATTTTTTTGTTCGAAAAATAAGTCTACATATCTATCCTTAAAAAAAATGTCTGTTCGGTATTGTCAAATTGTAAAAGCAAATGGGAAAATATCGAGTAGAATCATTTGAAGGTCAAAGATGATCCCTACTCAAAGATGATCTCTCCATGATGTATAATGATCAATTGGAGGATAATGAAATCTTTAAAAAGTAACATTTTTTGTAACACCAGGCATAACATGGTCAACAGTGGAAAAAATGACCAGTAGTGGCTGGAGTTGGACGATACCAGAACCACAGGACCGAATTGATTATATCTTTTATCGTGGTTCTCTGCTTTCTCCCATACAGTCGTATACATATCAGGGTAATGTAACTGTTTATCCCAAACCATTCCACTGGAAAAATGATTATCCATCTGATCATTTTGCTGTTATCACCACTTTCCGTTTAAAGTAACTTTCATGAATTTATCTGAGAAGGGTAAAATTTTACAAAGTTTTATATATTTATCAGGTTACAAACCTAATCAGTTTATTACTGACATTTGCATCAGATTTTACTCTCAATTTTTTTTTTTCTTTAATATTGCTTGTTTTAATTTGAAATTGGAATTGAAGTTGCAAGTACTGGGTGAGAACGTTGATAAATGATTAATTGTTTGAAAGTGCTAGCAACTCAAATATCATTCATCAGTAAAAAGAAAAAAAAAGAACAGTTGAGTCAACCAATAGAGTTAAAGAACGTTGATAATGAAAAGAATAAGGCATTATAACAACTTTATATCCTTTCGGATCACTTAAATAGGATGAAAAAGAATTAGAAGTTCTGACACATGAAACATTCGGAAAAAAAAATATATATATATTAGCTTTAAACGATTTGCCTGTATTCAGCGTATGTTATATAACCATCGTCATCGGTATCCAATTTTCTTAATGTTTCTGATACCATTTCTTCTAGTTTTGCTTCAGAAATTGGTCCTGTATCCTCTGAAACTATGAATGTTCCAATTTTTTGGAACAAATAAACTTAAATGAAATATTCAGCATATTTGCGAATCACTGTATCAATGAATTCTCAAAGCTTTCTTATTGTCTCTTTTTTACATGACTTGAACTGATAGCAAATTTCGATTCAAACAAAATGACACAGAAAAAACTGATCTTACCAGTAATGAATGTTTTTTCTAACTTAAGACTGAATGCTCCAAACGATTTTCTTCATTTTATGCTATCTAATTTGTGATGAAAAGAAAAAAAGAAATAAAAGCAAAAATTACTGTTCATTTCTTCATGTAGATGGGTTAATCCCTTAATAATTTCAATACCGTCAATTTTTCCATCTTTGTTTAAATCATGCATTCGAAAATAGTGGAAAGTTTCCAAATTTTTGTTCAATGATATTTTGGCAACGTCCAATTTGTGTTTCAAATGTTGTTTAATATGCCTGAAAACATATGAATAAATTGCAATATATTTGCAGCAATAACAAATAAATCATAGATATATAACAATAGCTTCAATTTGTTTAGAATTAGAATGAAAAATTAAGTTGTGCAAAAAGTAAACCTAGAAAACACTTGACTCAGACAAACAAAAATGCCTGAGCAATAAACATTTACAGAATTATAATTCAACACAGTGATTCAGCCAGGAACTTAAAGACAATGAGATCACAGCCTTCTAGGCTTATAAATAAAAATAAGCAGCAGTGAAAAATTTTAGAAACTGAATAGTCAATAGATGATTAAAAAACTGAATTTTCGTTCGTTTGTATAGTAATCTTTAAAACTATAAATGAACCTAATAAAGACATTTGATGGCAACGAACAAGATCAAAGTCAATAAAAACCTACGCTGTATCGTGTACTGCATCTTTTTCACCAAATTTTACTGGTACTGAAATCATGGAAAGCATTGACAATGGGAAATATGAATGGAGTTTAATTTGGTAACTAAGATGTAAATGCAATAACTTATCTGAGAATAGAAAAAAAGATTAAAAATCAAAATGGTAAAATGTATTTTTTATAAATTTACAAAAGTGATCAATGTTAAAATATCAGCACCTCTTTTCTTCTCATTTTCAGTCTTTCGCGTTTTTTTCCCAATTATGCAATTCTTTTCAAGTAAATTTAATTGTCTCAATCAATAAATTACAATCGCCATATTTAAAGATAAGATAAACTAGCTCAATTTATTTTCAAAATTAACAAGCCTGGTGGTGGTAGGGGTGGTGGAATAGATGATGAATCGCTTGATTGCGGAATCATACCAACAACTTGAGTCGATGGTAAAATCTGAGTAACAAGGATGATAAATTGCAACGTTGTGGTAAGTAAAATGTCACGATGATGATGATGATAATGGTGATGATGGTGTAGCATAGCTGGCAATATGAACATTAATGGATCAACAGTTCGACAATCGATAGTGTCACAAGTGAAAGTACTAAAGTAATAGCAGCAAAAACACTATTTTGTGAGTGGCACCATATCATACGGTTGATGAAGAGGGGAAGCGTTTCAATAAGCCTAAAATAGAGATCACATGATGAAAAGATAGAAATGCAAACAATACAGCTTCACACAGCTAATCGAATAATTTATGATATTTGAACAGAATCAATGACAATATTATTAATAAAAAAAGTAATAACAAATAATAATAGTA